TTCCAGCAATTTTGAAATACCTTCTTATTAACGATAGTCACCATGCTGTACAATAGATCTCTAAAACTTACTCCTTATGTCTCATGGAAACGTTGCACCTTTTGAACACCATCTCCAGGTTTCCCAGTTCCACCAGTCCAGCCCCTGCCAACCACCATTCTACTCTCTACTTCTATGAGTTTCACTTTTCTAGATTCCACATGGAAGTGAGAACATGAAGTATCTGTCTTTCTGTGCTTGGGTTATTTCACTTAACATAATGTCCTCCAGGCTCATCCATTTCATAAATGACAGGATTTCCTTCTTCTAGCAGCTGAACGTATTCCGCTGTGTATATGTTGTTGTCAGTCGTGATGTGGGTGGTGATTGATTGGGGCCGGTGTTGCAGGCAGTGAAAGAATTTACTGAAACAGCAGTAAGTTAAAGAAAGCAAGTTTATTGGAGAGAAAGTATGCTGCAAGGGAGCAACAGGCAGCAGAACAGAGAAGGGGCCGGAGGGAAGTTTTATAAGGTCGGGCTGCTGGGGCTATGTGCGTGCAGAAGGAGCTATTTGGGAACAGGATGTGCCAGTGGGTTGTCTGTGATTAGTCTCCCAGAACCATTGTTCTCCCTGTCTCCTGGGGCCTCTTCCTCATTGTTGCTTACTTATCTTTTTCGGACTCCACATATATGTCACATTTTGTTTATCCATTATCCCCTGATGAATACTTAGGCTGATTTCATATCTTGGCTATTGTGGAGAGTGCAGCAATGTATTTCTTTGACAAATTATTTTGTATCTCTTGGATGTATACCCAGAAGTGAGGTTTCTGGATCATACGGTAGTTCCATTTTTAGTTTTTTGAAGAGCCATACTGTGTTCCAAAAGGCTGTGCGACGTTGCAATCCCACCAACGGTGTGCAAGGGCTTCCTTTTCTCCACATCCTCATCACTGCTGATAAGCGTTGCGTCGTCTTTGTGATAACAGCCATTTTAACAGGTGTGAGGGAGCAGCTCACTGTCGTTTTAATTTGCATTTCCCTGATGATTTAGTGACATTAGCATTGTTTTATATACCTGCTGACCATTTGTATGTCTTCTTTTGAGAAATGTTCCTTCAGGTCCTTTGTCCATTTTTAATCAGTTTGATTTCTTGCCATTGGGTTGTTTGAGTTCCTTATATATTAACCTCTTATCAGGTGTATGGTTTGTAAATATGTTCTCCCATTTTTTAGGTTGTCTCTTCACCCTTTTGATTGTTACCTTTGCTGTGCAGAAGCTTTGTAGTTTGGTGTAATCTCACTTGCCTATTTTTGCTTTTCTTACCTGCGGTTTTGGGGTCACAACCAAAAAAATCGTTACGTAGACCAATGTCATGAAGCTTTTCTCTCATGTTTATTTCTAGTAGTTTTGCAGTTTTAGGTCTTATATTGAAATCTTTAACCCATTCTGAGTTGATCTTTGTATAATATGTGGTAGGAGATGAGGGTCTAATTTAATTTTTCTGTATGTGAATATCCAGTTTTCCTAAGATAATTAATTAAAGAGACTGTCATTTTCCCATCATGTGTTCTTTACATCTTTGTTGAAAATAAATTGACTGTAAATGCATGGCTCTGCATGGCTATTTCTAGGCTCTCTATTCTGTTCCATTGGTCTATGTGTCTTTTTTTTGTGCCAGTATCACACTGTTTTGATTACTGTGGCTTTGTGGTAGATTTCGAAATTAGATAGGGTGATGCCTTTGAGTTTGTTCCTTTTGGTCAAGATTACTTTGACTATTTGAGGTCTTCTGTGATTCCATGTAAATTTTAGGATTATTTATTCTGTTTCTTTGAAAATTGATATTGGAATTTTCATATGGAATACATTGAATCTGTGGATCACTTTCAGTAGTATGGGCATTTTAACAATATTGATTTTCAATCAATGAATACAGGATTAAAAATTTTTTTTCTTTTTATCTTCTTCAATTGCTTTCCTCAATATTTTCTAGTTTTCAGTGCATGTTTCTTTCACCTTCTTGGTTAAGTTTACTCTTAAATATTTTATTTTTACAGCCATTGCAAATGGAATTGTTTTCTTAATTTCTTTCCCAGATAATTTGTTGTTAGTTTATAGAAATACCACGAACTTTTGCGTGTTGTACCCTACAACTTTACTGAATTCGTTTATTAGTTCTAATGATTTTTGGTGGAGTGTTCAAGGTTGTCAATATATAAGATAATTTAACCAGCAAATGTATTTTCACTTCTTCCTTTCTTGTGTGTATGCCTTCTACTTCTTTTTCTTGCTTAATTTCTCTGGCTAGGACTTCTAGTACTCATTGAATAGGAGTGGGCAGCCCCATTTCTAACTCAGCGATTTAAAGGGGCTGTCCAGGGCCTAAGAAACCCAGGCTGAAGAAACCCAGGCTGGCTCTCCTTTCCAGACTTGGTCCTGAGCTCCCTATCAAGAGCCAAGCATTTGCCATGCACTGTGAGCTGTGGTTACTGTCCCATTTCTCTGATCTGCAAACTGAACTTGAGCTGTTAAAGGCCTGACATCTCAGAGGGCAGACACTGCCGAGCTGAGACTTCACCCCAGGTAGGTCTGACCCCCAACCTGGGCTAACCTCTTTCCATGTTGCCCCCACTCAGGTCGTTCCCCATGCATGGAACTGAGTTCTTCACTGGCCCTCCCTGGCTCTTCCCTAGCTCACAGCCTCGCTCTGCCCTGCTGCTCCCACTCTCTCTGCTGTCCCCGGGCTCATCATGGCTTCCCTTTACACACCTGTGGTCACCTGGGCACCCCCGGGCCTCTGAGTCTGTTGAGAAATGTCATGGGTTAGCTTGTACCCTCCAAATTCATATGTGGAAATCCTAAGCCCTAGTATCTTAGACTGACCTCATTTGGAATTCAGAGATGGGGTCTTTACAGAGATAATGAAATTAACATGAGGTCATTAGGGTGGGCCCTAGTCCAGTGTGACTGGTGTCCTTACAAGAAGGGGTAATCTCAAAGACTTCGTTCTGGCATTTAACAGTACAGTAGGGAAGTTATAGTTAACAATAATTTGTGTATATTGTTCAAGATAACTAGAAGAGAAGATTTGTAATGTTCCCAACATAAAGGAAAAGATGAATACTTGAGATGATGCATATCTTAGTAATCCTGATTTACTCATTATTTTGTATAAAGGTATCAAAATAACACGTGCACTCTCAAAATATGTACAACTGTTTTGTGCGAAATATGTACAACTCAGAAAAATACATGAATAAATGTCACCAAAGGCCAAGAGAAAAAGGAGAGGAAAGGAGAAGTGTGGACACAGATACACACACATCTGGGGAATGCCAAAGCCTGCCAGCGCGTCACCAGAAGCTGGAGACGGTCTGGCTCACGGCCCACACAAAGATCCCCACCTGCTAACACCTTGGCATCTCACTCTAAGCTTCCAGAACCGGGAGGCGACGCATTTCTGCGGCCTAAGGCATTCAGTGTGTAGTACTCTGTCATGGTTGCCCAGGCAAACTGATCCAGGAGGCTGGCCTGAGAGCCAGTCCCTCCGTAGCCACCTGCTCACCTGCCCACACCCAAGGGCATGCCGCCTTTCCCGTCTTTGCCCATACAGTGCCTCACTCCAGCTTGCTGTTCTCGTCATCCATGAGGGGCCTTTCATGGGCGGCTGGAGAGCTGCTGATGTGAGGGACGGTGGCCCTGACTTGGGGAAAGGGGGCTCCGAGTGGACCAGGAGCCTGGGTGTGTTGGAGTCTGTGGCTCTCATACTGAGGAAGGAGACCCTTAATCCTCTTAAACTTCTAAGACCCCTTCCCCTAGACTTCCACATTGCATTTCAATAGGAGAAGTTAGAGGTCAGCCAGAGGAGGAACCCGTTGATGCCAGCCAGGTTAAGGATAAGACCCCTACTGCTAACCTCAGTCCCATCTGCAGACCACGGATATGGTATGGAGAAACCTTTCCGGAAGGTGTTGTCTTTACTTAAAGCTGATCAAACCCCCAAGTCACATACTACTTCACGGATCAAGACCCTTTCACATGTGATTTCCAGAGTCGTAAGCCTTTAAAAGGGTGGGGATTGTCTTCCTTGGGGAGCTCAGCTTTAGGCAACTGTGCGGCCACTGCTCCCAGGCGAATAAATCACCCCTCCCCTCCCAGTTCAGGGCTCGAGAGATTTGTTTTGTGGCCTTTCCTGATACAATACTGCCTCTCTGCCCATCCAAAGGGGAGCTTCCTGCCACCCTGGGAGTGTCCCTAAAGGGACGCGAGACTGCTTTGGGGTGTTTGTGACCTTGGGCGTTGCAGCCTGGAGTGTTCGGACCCGGCTGTCTCTTGTAGAACAGCCATTCGCACAATAACTGTAAATAAATCAGAAACACACATTCAATTTTTCTTGACATGTAAACGGGGGTTTGTAAATGTTTGGGGGGAGTTTGGCTATTTTTAAGGGAGTGTGGGCATGGCCTGTGCTGGCTGCCAGGGACCTGAAGCTGAATGGAGATGTCCACTCTCCAGAGTGGGTCAGCTCAGGCATCTGAATCCCATGCGGCTGGTGACTGGGAGCCAAGACTGCTGCCCACATTCCCTCCGGAGCCGTCCTGGCAGCCCCATGGTGGACCCAGCCCACTTGACAGATGGAAAGACTGAGACACAGACTGGACAAGGCCCTGGCCTGGGAAGAGGCACAGCCGGGGCACAGCTTACTTTCCCTGGCTCCGGGCCCTGAGCCGTTTTTATAGCAGGGGGGTTTCAGGAGTCCCAGGGAGCCATGGGGGTTCAGGGCAGCTCCAGAGAGGAGGCGGTGCTGGAGCAGGGCCTCAGGCAAGGGCAGGAGCTCTGAGGCCAGTGTCGGTGTGGCAAGGAATGCTGAGTTCCTCTCTGGGGATATACTCCCGTGGGGTACAGGGCACCAGATGGGCTGCTGGCGGCCAGCAGGCACCCGGAGTCTCAGCTGTGCTCTAGACACACTGGGACATGGGTGGTGAGAACCTGGGCCAGTGCCAGGCCTGCTGTCCAGTGACACTCCCTGGAGTCCTGGCTGCTAGTGGGCCTTGCTATGGGTCATCTGAGGCCAATTCCTCCAAAGGGGGATGGTGGGCTCTGAGTGGACCAGGAGCCTGGCTGTGTTAGAGTCTGTGGCTCTCATACTGCCTCTCTGCCCATCGTAAGGGGAGCTTCCTGCCACCCTGGGAGTGTCCCTAAAGGGACGAGAGACTCTGCCTTGGGATGTTTGTGACCTTGGGTATTTGCAAGGGAAGGCTGCGTCTTGGGACAAGGGTTATGGGGTCTGAGTCCCATCAGGTGAGTTGAGCTGGGACAGGGTCAGGCAAAACGTTGCCGGGACACCGTCACCGATGCCGGCTGGGAGGGGCCGAGGCTGCAGGCCCAGGCTGCAGGTGCAGGCTCAGCCTGGCCCTCCCTGCAGGAACTTCAAACATGTCGCTGATGCGTCCCGCACATGGCAGCTGGCACTTCAAACATGTCGCCGGTGCGTCCCGCACACGGCAGCTGGCAACCTCAGCAGCCAGCCTCTCTCCCTCAGCCGGCCACTCCCTTCGGACCAAGTGTCCTTCCACTTCGCAGCCCCTCAACTATTGCCCTCACCTGAGCAGCCCACCGAGGCGCGCCCTGCCTCCTGCCAGCTCAGGCTGTGTGCCAGGCATGTGGAAGGCACCATCTTCCCACTCAGGGGTTGCTCCTCGGGGGCTCTGGTTCTGGGGATGACATCACCATTCCCCTCCCCAGCACGCTGCAGCTCGAAACCAGCCTGTCCCTGGCCCTTCTTGCCCCGACACCCCGCAGGACCCACGGCTGCTGGCGCTGAGTTACTGATGTCCCTCCCCAGAGGCAGCAGAGCAGCTTGGAGAGGGCCAGCAGCCGACCTACGGCCCAGCTCCCCTTGCTGTCTGCACCATCTCCAGGAAGCCTTGAGACTTGTGCCTCAGTCTCCACCACATGTGGGGAGAGTCAGGTACAGACACAGGAATGGCTCATTCTAAAAGGCTGCCTAGTAAAAAGTTCACCATTGTGATTGGCTGTCATTCCAGCCCCACCCTAGGTCCTGCCTCCTCCTCTCCCATGGGCAGGTTAAGCAGGAGCCTGGCCCAGAGTCGGGACAGCTATGGGCCTGTGTGGACCCCCCTGTCCATCCCATGACGCGGTGTGGGCTGTGTGGGGGCCCTGACAGGCAGGGCTTCGCAGTGACTGAGGAGCTCAGAATTTGAGCTGGGGCTATAGTATGTCCTTACCTATCAATGATTACCTTAAATGTAAACGGATTAAATTTGCCAATCGAAAGATACAGAGTGGCTAAATGCATTATATATATATTTTACAAAAAAAGCCCTAACTAGATTCTGCCTATGAGAAACACTTCACGTTTAAGGACACACACAGATTGGAAGTAAAGGAATGGAAAAATATATTCCATGAAAATGGAAACCAAAAGAGAGCAAGCATAGCTGTCTTGTACTGCTTTTTAGGCCAAATGGACGTAACAGACATATACAGAACGGTCCATGTAACAGCCAGATAAAACAGACTCTTAAGCAATAATGAAAAAGAGGCTGGGTGTGATGCCTTGTGCCTGAAATCCCAGCATTTTGGGAAGCTGAGGTGGGTAGATCCACTCGAGGACAGGAGTTCAAGGCCAGCCTGGCCAAATGACAAAACCCTGCCTCTACTAAAAATGTAAAAATTAGCCCAGCATGGTGGTGCCTGCCTGTAATCCCAGCTACTCAGGTGACTGAGGCTCAAGAATCACTTGAACCCAGGAGGTGGAAGTTGCAGTGAGCCAAAATTGTGCCACTGCACTGCAGCCTGGGCGACAGAGCGAGACTCTGTCTCAAACAAAACAAGACAAAACAACGGTGTAATGAAACAAAGAAGGTCACTATATAATGGCAAAGAGGTCAGCTCATCAACAAGGCATGAGAATTGTCAATAAATATGCGCCAACATAAAAGCCCGTAAATATACAGAGTGCATTTTAACAGACCTGAAGGGAGAGAGACTGCAGTCCAGCAGCAGCAGGGGACTTCAGAACCCCACTTCCACAATCAAAAGATCATCTAGTGAGACAGTGAAAAAGGAAACGCTGGACTTGAACTGCTTTTTAGGCCAAATGGACGTAACGGACATATACAGAACGGTCCATGTAACAGCAGCAGCACACACGGAATGTCCCCCAGGAGAGACTGTATGTCAGGCTGCAAAACAAGTCTTAGCAAATTTGAGATGACTGAAATTATATCACATAATTAGTCTGACCACAATGGTATGAAGCTAGAAATCAAGAACCGGAGTAGTTCTGGAAAAGTCACCAATATGTGAAAATTAAAATAACGTGTTCCTGAACAATCAGTAGATCAAAGAAGAAATTAAAAGGTAAATGTAAAAATATCTTGAGACAAAAATAGAAACAGAACTTGTTGGATGCAGCAAAAGCAGTTCTAAGAGGGAAGTTTGTGCAATAAACACCTACATCAAAAAATAAGAAAGATCTGAGATAAACAACTTAACTATACCTCAAGGAACAAGAAAAAGAAGAAAAATTGGCCAGGTGCAATGGCTCATGCCTGCTATCCCAGCACTTTGGAAGGCCAAGGCAGGTGAATCACCTGGGGTCAGGAGTTCGAGACCAGCCTGATCAACATGGAGAAACCCTGTCTCTACTAAACATATGAAAAAAAAAATAGCCAGTTGTGGTGGCACGTGCCTGTAATCCCAGCTACTTGGGAGGTTGAGGCAGGAGAATCCCTTGAATCTGGGAGATGGAGGTTGTGGTGAGCTGAGATCATGCCATTGCACTCCAGTCTGGGCAGCAAGAGCAAAACTCTGTCTCAAAAATTAAAAAAAAAAAAGAAAAAATTAAGCTCAAAGTTAATAGAAGGAACAAAATAATAAAGATCAGAGCAGAAATAAGTGAAATAGACTAGAAAAACAACAGAAAAGTTAAAAAACTAAGAATTGGGTTTTCAAAAAAATAAATAAAATTGACAAACCTTTAGCTAGATTAAAAAAGGGAGTGAAGACTCAAAATCAGAAAGAAAGAGGAGACATTGCAACTAATTACACAAAAGCACAAAGGATTGTAAGACGCTACTATGAACAACTATAGATTAACACGTTGAATAAACTAGAAGAAAGAGACAAATTCCTAGACACATACCGTGACGAAGAGTAAATCACGAAGAAACAGAAAAGGTGAACCGACTAATAATGCGTAAAGAGATTGAGTCAGTAGTAAAAAAGTCTCTCAGCAAAGAAAAGCCCCAGATCTGATGGCTTCACTGCTGAATTCTGCCAAATATTTCAAGAACAATGAATACTAATCCTTCTCAAATTCTTGCAAAAAATGAAAGGGAAGGGAATATCTCCACACACATTTTACGAGGTCAGCATTACTCTAATATCAAAGCCAGAGAAGGGCACTACAAGAAAAGAAAATTTCAGGCTAATATCTCTGACAAACATTCTAAAAAAAAATACTGAAAAATCGAATTCAACAGCAGATGAAAAGGATCATCCACCATGAACAGGTGGGGTTTATCCCTGGGATGCAAGGATAGTTCAGCATTTATAAATCAACAGTGTAATGTAGCACATTACCAGAATGAAAGACAAAAACCATATCTCAGAAGATGCATAAAAGACACTCAGTAAAATCCAACACTTTTTCATGATAAAAAACTCTCAACAAATTAGGTAGAGAAGGTGATATGCTTTGGCTGTGTCCCCACCAAATCTCATCTTGAACTGTAGCTCCCATAATTCCTTCATGTTGTGGGAGGGGCCCACTGGAAGATAACTGAATCATGGGGGTGGTTTCCCCCATACTGTTCTTGTGGTAGTGAGTAGGTCTCACAAGACCTGATGGTTTTATAAGGGGAAATCCCTCTGGCTTGGCTCTCTCATTCTCTCTCTTGCTGCCATGTAAGATGTGGCTTTCGCCTTCTGCCATGATTTTGAGGCCTTTCCAGCCATGTGGAACTGTGAGTCCATTCAACCTCATTTTCTTTGTAAATTACCCAGTCTCGGGTATGTCTGTATCAGCAGCATGAAAACAAACTCATACAGAAGGAATGTACTTCAACACAATAAAGACCATACACAAGAATCCCAAAGCTGAAATTATACACAACTGTGAAAAGTTGAAGTCCTTTCCTTTATAATCAGGAACAAGAAAGGGATGCCCACCCTCACCACTTCTATTCAACACAGTACTAGAAGTCCTAGTCAGAGCAATAAGGAAAGAGAGAGAAATAAAAGACATCCAAGTTGGAAAGGAAGACATAAAATTGTCTCTGCAGACACGCTCTACGTAGAAAAACTTCAAGAATGCACCAAAAAAGCTGCTAAACCAACACACAAATTCAGTAAAGTGGCAGGATACAACCACCAACATACAAAACCCAGCAGTATTTCTACACACTGGTAACAAACCATCTGGAAAAAATCAAGAAAATAATCACATTTACAATAGGTACAAAGATAGTAAAATACTTAGAAACACATTTAATCAAGCAAGTGAAAGGTTTGTGTATTAGTCCGTTTTCACACTGCTGTGCAGAAATACCGAGACTGGGTAATTTTAAACAAGAGGTTTAATTGGCTCACAGTTCCACGTGGCTGGCAGGCCTCAGGAAACTTACAATCCTAGTGGAAGGTGAAGGGTAAGCAGGTACTTTCTTCACAAGGTGACAGGAGAGAGGAGAGCAGGGGAAGCTGCTGTTTATAAAACCGTCAGATCTCCTGAGAACTCACTCACTCTCACGAGGACAGCACTGGAAGAAACCACCCCCATGGTCCAATCACCTCCCACCAGGTCCCTCCCTTGACACCTGGGGATTACAATTCGAGGTGAGATTTGAGTGGGGACACAGAGCCAAACATCATTCTGTACACTGAAAACTGGAAAATATTGATGAAGGAAATTGAAGAAGACCCAAAGAAATGGAACAATAGCTCTTGTTCATAGATTGGAAGACTTAATCCTGTTAAAATGTTTATACTATCCAAAGCAATC